TTTCAAGCTTCCAGGTCCAGGACTCGAACCATGGTCAGCCATATGGACGTCTAGCAACTTAACCATTACATCACCTGCTGGCCCCTATCTTTTTTTTTTTTTAATAAAGAGATTCTTTTTGTTATAGGGGGTGTGCACTCACCAGAGACAACGAGAAAGCCAGAAATCACTCCAGGAGGGATGGCCACACCACAATCCCTCCTCCTCCATTCTCCTCTCAGGATTTTGGCACACATGCACACACACCCAGCATGAATTTCAAGCTGCCAGGTCTGGGACTCAAACCACAGTCGGTCATGTGGGAGTCCAGCGACATAAGCATTACACCATGTGCTGGTCCTCTGGCCCCCCATCTTCCTAACATACAAGAAGGTTAGTAAAAGTTAAGCCAAATTTCAGGTAACTAAGAGAAATGAGCAGCTGAGGCCATTACAGTGACTGCAAACCCAAAGCAGCCTCTTACCATCCTTCGCATATGCCACACAGTATATTGTGTCTTTGTGTCCCTTGAGGGGCTGAAGCAAGGTCCCATCGGAGGCATCATAAACCTGGCCAAAAGGAGACAAAAGTAGTTTATCCAGGTGGTACCTGTTAGCCAGAATTCCTGCACGGTTGTTACTGCTATTTGTATTACAAAACTTTTGTCTGAATTTGTATCAAATAAAAATTGCACTGCAAGGGACCAGCTGATGGCGTAATAGTTACGTTGCTGGACTCCCATGTGGTTGACCATAGTTCACGTCCTGGACCCAGCAGCTTAAAATTCACATCAGGCACATGTGTACATCCCTAAAATCCCAAGAGGAGACGGGAAAAGAAGGAATTGCATTATGGCCATCCCCCTGGGAGGTGATTTCTCGCTTTCTATATCTTTGTCTCTCCACCAAGCACAAGAGCCCTATAGAAAAAAAAAATCGAAAAACCCTCTCTCAAAAACAAACAAACAAACAAAAAATTGCACTGCAAAGGCAGAAAGAATGTGCCTTCAAGACAGGAGTCTCAGAAGCAGAGGTCCTGGCTCCATGTACTGAGCCTGGAACATGGCATCCACCCTCGAGAAGCAAAGGTTCGGTGACGGACTTCTCGGAAACTCTCTATCAACTTAACTCATTCTTGTAGGCTGTTTCCAACACAGCAATACGTGACTTTGGATATAAGACCGGTCAAAACAGGCCTCCTAAATGGATAAAGCCAGGGCCAGCAGGTAGTGTGGTTGTTAAGTCACTGGACTCCCACATGGCCAACCCCAGCTCGAGTCCCAGACCTGCTGGCTTGCTTTCTCACTTTCCTTCTTTCGCTGTCTCTCTCTCTCTCTGATGAGCATGTGTGCCCTATGGCAAGTTAAATAATTATACATTAAATTGTATTAATAATGCTTTTAAAAAATAAATACATAAGTAAATAATAAAGCTAGCATGTACAAAGAACCAGCTACAACATGATTACATTTTAGTGCTTTTGGGGCTGGCAGGTGGTGTGGTGGTTGAGTGCGCTGGACTCCCATATGGCCAACCGTAGTTTGAGTCCTGGACCTGGCAGCTTCCTTTATCACTCTGTATCTCTCTCTCTCTCTGGTCAAATTAAAATAAATACATAAATAAAGTGCAATAAAATAATTTTTTTAATGTAGTGCTATCCTGCCCCCTGACATCAAATTCATAAAGAGATGTTCTATATTTGCTACTAAGAAGTTGGAAGTTACAGACTTGAACTCTGGGTTTGTAAGTAGGAAGGTGTTATAAAAGCTAGCTATAATGTGGATTAAGGGTATTTTATAGCTGTGAAATGTTTATAAATAGGTGAAGACTGAAAAGCACACTGGGAAATAAGGCGGAACTCTGCAGAACGGGTGGAGCATTAGAGAAGGGATGCAGATTGTTTATGGTGGAGCGAAGTCTGCAGAACAATGTGCCCAGGGCTCTAAGAGCAGGTAGCTAGCACTCAGAGACTGGAGGTCAGTCCGTCTGCCTCTCTAGAGACAACAGAGAAGAGGAAGGGGACTTCCGCAGAAGGAAGGGAGGTCACACAAAGGTTTTCAGGTCAAACAGGAAGAGCTCTCTGAACATGACTTTTACGCGGTGGGATAGGTTCCAGAGGGAGCTTATGCTCTTTGAAAATAGGAAAAACAGGACCACACCCATACGGAGCTGTTTAGGTCGGCCGACCCCACTTCTCATGGAGGGAGCACCTTCAGTCCTGTTGCTTGGATGTGTAAGGGAACAAAGCATGAACTGACAGCAGCCCAGTTACAGGGGCATTTTCATGAATTGTCTTCAACTCTGTCACGGGTGTCTCCAAGTTAAAAGGGAGAGATGAATGACTCCAAAGGAGGTATTGTTCACAAGTCTATCTGATAGACAGTTGACTTACCTGTTCTAAATAGCCCATTTCCTGCCCTATTAAAAACTAAGGACGAGTTTTTCCGCCCATGCCTTTTTTATCGCAAAAAGAAAGGGAGGGAGGGGGCGGAGGGTGTGTCAAATTTCAGAGTACTCACAAGAGGGGGGAGGGAAAAATGTACTTAAAAAGTAAACTCAGGCAAACTCCTACCAGCAACGTGCTTCCTGCGGCCAGAATCAGCTGCGTCCCATCAGGCTTAAATGCGAGGTCATAGACACTAAACAGGAGACAAGGCGAAAGATTAGGAACCCAGATGAGGTCTGCTAATAGCCGGGAAAGGAAACTTTATTTCCATTAGAAAACACTGCGAGTGCGAGTGTGAGTGTGTGTGTGTGTGCGTGTGCGTGTCGGGGAGGAAAATAATGGCTGAGAATTGCACTGGTTGCAAATTCCATTCAACCGCCATGACCTGGCAGCCCACTCAGTCACGATCCCTGGGCAGTTAGCTGGATGTCCCCGCTTCCTCTTGTCCAGGAGCCAGACTAACTCTCCTAACAATACCGTGGAGGCTGGACTCCCTGCGAGACCCCGTGAGGACAGCCACAGTGGCAAATCCACACCCATAGGTGTACGTATTGAGTGCCTGGTAGGTGCTAGCTGCCCAGAGATACAAGAGAAATTTCTCAGAGCCCCTCCCTGCCCTCAAAGAGGTTAGCATCTGGCGGGAAGGTGTGACTCAGACACACTCACAGAGAACAACTGTATGTCATTCATTCATTCTTTTTTTTTTTTTTTTTTTAAGGTTTTTGCCATAGGGCACATGTGGTTTCTGGAGACTGAGAGAGGGAAATGAGAAGTCACCCCCCAGGGGAGATGGCCACGCCACAATCCCTTCTCCTCCCATCTCCTCCAGGGATTTTGGGGCACAAACACGTAAGCATCTGGTGTGAGTTTCAAGCCATTAGGTCTGGGACTCAAACTGCATTCGGCCATGTGGGAGTCCAGCACCTTAACCACCATATCACCTGCTGGCCCCCATGCGCCATGAATTACTTTTAAAGAATTATTTAGTGGGACCAGCAGTTAGCGTAATGGCTATGTTGCTGGACTCCCACGTAGTCGACCGTGGTTCAAGTCCCGAACCGGGTGGCTTAAACTCACGCCGGGCACGTGTGCGTGTCCAAGATCCCGAGAGGAGAATGGAGGAGATGTGGCTATGTGGCCATCCCCCCTGGGGGGTGATTTCTCACTTTCTGTCTCTCTGTCTGTCTGGCGAGCGCACGTGCCCTATAGCAAAAAACCTCTCCCCAAAAAGAAAAAAATAAAAAGACTTATTTAGTTATTTCATTCATTCATTTGGTATTACTTTTTAAAAGAATAATTTATTTAATTGTATTTATCTATCCATCTATTTTAATTTGACCAGAGCGAGAGAAGGAAAGTGAGAAAGCAAGCCACCAGGTCCAGGACTCAAACCATGGTTGGCCATGTGGGAGTATCCAGCACCTTAACCACCATGCCACCTGCTGGCCCCATTAATATTATTTTTTAATCTGATCAGAAAGAGACAGAAAAAGAAAGAGAAAGTGAGAAAACAAACCGCCAAGTCCAGGACTCAAACCACGGTTGGCCATGTGGGGGAGAGTCCAGCGCCTTAACCACACCACCTGATGGTCCCCACATGTCATCGGTTCTAAGGCGTACACTCGATTACATTTACCATCTCTGAGTTTAAGGTGTGTCTGATGACATCACCAGTTTAACTGGCACCATTTTTTTCTGATTGGTACACAACATAACGTTACTTTATAATCAAGGACCTCTTACAGTAGATGAAATATGGAACAACACTGTGATAAAGGCTTTAGGAGATACATTAAAACATGCAGTTCAGCCTGGGCCAGAGGGTAGGGCGGTAGTTTAGACACTAGACTCGCCCATGGCTGACTGCAGCTCAAGTCCCAGACCTGGCGGCTTGAAAATCACACCGGGCACATGTGCGTTCATGTCCAAAATTCCAGGAGAATGGAGAAGGGACTGTGGCACGCCCATTCCCCCAGGGGACCACTTCTCACTTTCCCTTTCATGTCTCTCTCCTGTGAGTACATGGCAAAAACCTAAAAAACAAAACATGTATTACGGGATTCAAAGGAAGAAGACAGCATTCTAACTTGGGGAAAGGATCAGAGCTTCATAAAGAAAACAGTAATTGAAAAAGCTAGGACTTCTGAGATACGCAGGGAGAGATTGGTTAGGTACAGCACTTCAGGCAGAGAAAACTGCAAGCAAAGACATTAAGGTGGGGGGCAGCGAGAAATTTAAATCATCTAATTCGACTGAAACACCTGGCTCTCTACACAACTAGAGGAACAGGCTTGACCCACTCCCTGAATGGCCCAGGCAGGAGTTCACGAGTACAGAGGACCCTAAGAACACGCCAAGACAGCAACTGTCCAGTGGGCCAGCCAGGTGGTGTGGCTGGATCCCACATGGTGGCCTCCAAGGTGGACAAATGCCAAAATCCAGAGAGAATGGAGAAGAGGGCTTGCGGCATGGCTGGGCCCCTTGGGGAGTGTTTTCTCATGTTTCCTCTCACTGTCTCTCTCCGGGGAGGGGGAGAAAAAGAAAAGAAACAGCACTGTCTGGCTGCTGGTGGCACAGCAATAAACGCAACGCTCTGCAAAGCTGACCCACACAGGAACATTATTCTGGGTTCATCTGGAGACCTCTCTGAGTCTATGCAATTGTGTGTGTCCGTGATCTGTGACTAGCTGAAGCTGGGGGAGATCATGACATCAAAACCCTATTGGAAATGCGGGACCAGCAGTTAGCATAATGGCTCCCACGTAATCGACCACGGTTGAGTCCCGGACCCAGTGGCTTATACTCATACCAGACGTGTGCGTGCATGCCCAAGATCCCGAGAGGAGAGTGGAGGAGAAGGGATTGCAGCGTGGCCATCCCCCTGGGGGGTGATTTCTCACTTTGTCTCTCTGTCTCTCTCTGTCTGACGAGCACACGTGCCCTATAGCAAAAACCTCTAAAAAAAACCACAAAACCCTATTGGAAATGCTATCTGTCTTTCTCTCTGTTTCATGAACTCATGGGGAAAAAACAAACAAGCAAATAAGCAGAAGGCAGCAGCAGCACTGTTGGGGCAGCCATTGTGATGTTTAGCACATGATAAACTTGCCCGGTACTTGTTAGTGCCCAAACTACACCTGCTCAGTGATGGTACTTGGAGCCTTCACCACACACAGGCCTGTGCTACGCTCGTCAAAGGCGTTGTGTTATTTCATCCTTGCAATAATGCTGTGAGGTAAGATTTCCCTGTTGAGGGAAGAGGCAGAGACCCTAAAAATACAGTTAGGGTACAGGCCCAAAATGAAATCACAATATGGCTAAGTTTAAGTTGGAGACACAGCGGCTCACAGCAGCTCGGCTCTCCCTACCCTGCTGGCTCACAGCGGCTCACAGCAGCGACTCAATGACTGACCTAAAGCAAATACAGCAATCAAAACTTTTACAAGGTCCCACCCATTCCAGGAAGAAGATAATGGTCTTTGTGGCCCAAAGTTCGTAGATAGAGTCTCATGACTTTCATATCCACTCCAAAATTAGGAGAAAAATAGCCAGACCTGTCTAGCATGTGACCCCTACCACAAAGAGAATGTATACACAAGCCCCTCCTGAACAAGAAAAAAAACCCTTATCTCAGTTCCTCTTCAGCAAGCCATTTTCCAGAACCCCTCCCCGCCTGGGAGCTGCTCTCTCCGATAAACTCCACTTGGCTATCCCCTGTCTGAGCCCACGTCTCTCATTCTTCGTGAATCACAGGCGAGAAGCACTGTCACTCTCCCAGGTCACTGTTTTCTAGGTAAGGACACCATGGCTCAGAGAGATCGAGTACCTTGCCCAACGTCACATGACTAGCACACGTCAGTGTCAGAGTTTCAACTCCAACCTGCCTCTAGATTCTGAACGCTTAACCGCTAAACGACACACTGCCTGCTCCTCTCTTCAATGACTGCTATGTGCATCAAATCTGTTACCTTCGAGACTTTAACTACAGTAACAGTGGCTAAAATTTATTGAGCATATTTATTTTAGAGGGGTTTGTTTGTTTTTTCTGCTTTTTTTTTTTTTTGCTATAGGGAGTGTGCACTTGCCAGAGAGACAGAAAGTGAGAACTCACCCCCTGGGGGAATGGCCACACCACAATCCCTTCTCCTCCAGTCTCCTCTCAGGACCTCGGGCATGCTTGCACACATACTCAGCATGAGTTTTAAGCTGCCAGGTCAGGAATCGAACGGAGGTCGACTAGGTGGGAGTCCAGTGACGTAACTATGAGGCCACTTGCTGGTCCCTATTGGGCATAGTAATTCTGGATGCTAGGTTCAGTTTAAATCCATCATGTATTAGCCCTCTCAGCCTCACTACAACTCTACCCTTGCCTAGCAGATGAGAAAACTAAGGCATAAGAAGTTAAAGAACTGGCCTGGAAATAAACTGCTACTAAAAAGAGGCAGAGCAGGCAGTCTGGCTCTGAAGCACATGCTCTGTTATTCTAACTTTGTGGTTACGCTTTGTGGTTTTCGTTCTTATCATCGTTACTGCCGCATTTGACAAAACCGTTAGCAATCATTTTCATGCTTTAGCAAAAGCAAAAAAAAAAAAAAAAGTATCAACACCTCCTCAAGTAATTACATGTAGAATTAAAAATGCATTTTGCATTTTTAGTTGATAAATAATAACTGGGCATAGTTATAAGGTATAATGTGATGTTTTGATCTTCTATATATTATAGAAAGGGTCAATCAAGCTAATTAACATATCTATCACCTCATCAAATTAATTTTTTGTGGTGAGAATATTAAAAATCTATTTTGTTCCCAATTTCGAAATATCCACTATCATTAATTCTCCAGTCTGAAACGTTGTACTTTTTGATCATCATCTTCTCTTTCCCCATCCCCCTTGCCACTGGCACCACCCTGCTACCTCCAGAAAACACCTTTGTACTCTCTGTCTCTATAAGATAGACTTTTTTAAAACCGACATCGAAGAGGCCAGAGAGTGGCGAGGTGGTTAGTGTGCTGGATTCCAGCATGGCCATCCACAGTTCGAGTCCTGGTCCTGATGGCTTGCTTTCTCACTTTCCCTTTCTCACTCTGTCTCTCCCTGATCGAATTAAAAAATAATAGTAATAGGGACCAGTAGTTAGCATAATGGCTATATCGCTGGACTCCCATGTAGTCGACTGCAGTTCAAGTCCTG